GCAGCCAGCTATGGCTCTAGGGTTTGGTGTTACATGTTATTTATGTAGTTTATTGTAAAAAAAATTCGGTCACAGTCCCTATGATCACTGTTACATTGCAATTATGGCTTTATTTTTTGGTGATTTCGAAAACGTTTTTTGGTTTGGACATTGTTTTGTTGTAGTACGGAGTTAGACTGATGGCCTTAATCTAAGTTTTCTTGTGGTTGTTGTTGTTTGACTTGCATCCCACTGGGATTTTTGCACACAGCGTTGGTGTACGGTGCTTTTTCAGGAATATTTTGATGTTTTTTTCATGGATTTTCTGTGTGCACAGTCACATAGTCACTTTAAGATGTTTTCTTGTTCGTGTTTTTGGTTTTTTTGTTTGTTGTGGTTGCACCCGATTCAAGAGCCGAATGGCTCAAAGGGCTATACCAAATAAATAAACTTAAAATAAAAATAAACTGAAAATGAAATGGTGCGGTGCGTTAATCACTGCACCATCGCTCCGCTGCCAGTGGCGTAAAAGCAATGTACTTTAACTCATGAAACAAGCCTCCATCTCTCAAACACTGACCACAAGCGCTGGTCAGTGCGGGTTGATGGCGGTGGTTAGCGCACTGCACTGTGAACCCTAGGCGAGCCGAGTTCGATTCCCGGTACAGGGCTCTCACATCGCCGGTCTTGCCTTCAATCCCATAATTCACCAGCAACCACCACACTTCACCAACCCGCACTAACTAACCCAGCGCGGTGAAGTATGGACAGCATATCCGCCATGACCGACACGGCATGGGCAAGACTTCATCCAGCAGATTGACAAAGAGATGTTCGAACCATGCACGGTTCTAAAAGTGGTGTCAGCAGCAAGATTTTACAAAATAATGCGATAGTGAGCGCGCCACCGCGCTACGAAGCCGGCCGCCCCAGTTTGATTCCCGCTCACGGCCAGCATCGACGACGAAGACATATCTGCACCGGGTACCCCGAGCTTCCCAACGATGTCGACAAGCCACGAGTACCTCGTGCGACGTGTAAAAACACCCGCAACTGAGGAGACAAAGGCTGCCGGGCGTGATCCCGACCACCACCAGCCACCTCGTTATGCCCTCCCTATCGGCAGTTGGCCCCAGGCAATCTGTGTGGCTTCACGGGGGATCTTTTGTTTACCTCTGTGTGTGTGTGTGCGCGTAAAGAACAATGACGGCGGGGCAGTGAAGTCAGCCGAGTCAGCGGGTTGTGTGCAGGCAGGACGCGCGCGTTCTGTGTGCGCGGCAAGCGCACAAGCGGAGCGAAGCAGCGCGGATCTCTCTCGTTTTATTCTTACAACGGTCGAAGGATTCAAGCGCAGCTATCGAGTAGTACCGGCGGTGCAACTGCGGCGGGCACTAGGCGCATGTAACCCCCCAGCTACGGAGAGGGGTGCGGGCGGGACGGTGGGGGTGGTGTTGATGGGTGGTGTTGGTGGGTGTTGGTGGGTGGTGTTGGTGGGTGTTGGTGGGTGGTGTTGGTGGGTGTTGGTGGGTGTTGGTGGGTGGTGTTGGTGGGTGTTGGTGGGTGGGTGGTGTTGATGGGTGGGTGGTGGTTTTGGTGGGTGGGTGGGTGCGTGGTGGTGTTGGTGGGTTGGTGGTGGTGGTGTTGGTGGTGTTGGTGGATAGGTGGGTGGGTGGTGGTGTTGGTGGGTGGGTGGTGGTGTTGGTGGGTGGTGGTGTTGGTGGGTGGTGGTGTTGGTGGGTGGTGGTGTTGGTGGGTGGTGGTGTTGGTGGGTGGGTGGGTGTGGACGGGATTGGCCGTGGGAGGGTTGGGTGAGGCGTCGTTTCGTGGGTAGCGCTGCGAACACGGCGTCCCGAATTCGAATCCCGCTCACGGCCAACACAAGGTGACGATTATCGGTCCTGGGCCTCCTCCCCTAGGTCGACTCAGCCTCAAATGAGTACCTGGTGCGGTGTGTAAACATAACCACTGGGGAGACAAAGGTGGCCGGGCGTGATCAATGGCCACCCACCCCCTCGTGTGCCGTGCTGGCCTTCATAGGTGCTCGCTCTCAGCACTTGCCCCGACAGTCTGTTCAGGCTATACGGAGGATCTTTGTCCTTGTCTCTTCAGGCATCGAATTCCGTGGGACCAAGGCCCATGCCAAACACACGTGGGCAACACTTCACACTCATCTGAAGAAAAAAAAACGCCGCTTATAATCCTGATAATTAAATTGCCTGCGTGTTGATGATAACAAAAAAAAACAGGCGGCACAAATAATCCGGTATAACTGCGATTGTTTTGTGTGCGAGGAGCGGTGGCGCAACGGGTTGGCACGCTGCGTTATATATCAGCTCCCGAGTTCGATTCCAGAGACAGGGAAACCAATCCGGCCCCAGCACATTTCATTAACTCACACTGACAAATGTGGTGAAGTATGGTCAACAGCCCCTATCGCCGACACGTTAATTGTCTGGTACGCGTGTTACTATGGTGGGGATTCAGAGGTCCCACTTACCTAATAGCGTGCTATATATAAAATGTATGCAAAATCTACAGTGTTACCAGCGGTTTAACGCACAAATATAAGGGACTACATGTACCGCAGTATAGATCGTGTGATTTTAGGTCGGTACAGAATTTGGTTTTGGATATGCATTGGAGACGAACGTGATGCATTTGTATAAGACCCTTCTCCCTGAATTCTAACCCTCGCCTTTATACGTACCAAGCATCGTCCTGTATCAACCACATTGCTGTAACTGGAGTCGCAATCTCACTGTGATAGGACTCAATTCCCAGCTCGATATTTTCCAGAACGCTGCTAGGCTGGCTTGAAATCTTGATAATTATCGGCATAAGGCACTACCACTAGAATACAAGGTACGCCCGTTCATAACAATCCTATGTTATTGTGTCATATGTTCCCGCACACCACCACAGGATCACACGGACAAAATAACGCGAGATGGACTGTGGTTTACCAAAAAAAAAAATCCAAGCACAGCATTCCATCCCGACTATTCCAGTTAAAATTAAACGCCGAGCAAACGAGTATAGGCTGGCAATCATCGCGTTGTTCTCTGCCAGGCATTTGATCGTGCAGGATTTGTTTCCGCCGAGCAGAGAAGAATGGGATCCTGCCCACACGAAGGAGAAGGTGGCGGAACCAGTTTCGACGAACCGGGCATGCCCAATTCTTACATCCGCTCTGCAAAGTCACCGCACCACGATCCACAACGCCCACTGTCGCATCTCAACTCCAGATGCGAAGCCATTGGCGATGGAGGCATGCGTGGGAATCGCGTGCCGCGCCCGTGAACTTCAGCAAGGGGTGGAAACAGGCGTTCGACTTGAGGGAGTGAGCCTCTCTCTGAATTGACACGCGCGAACAGGCTTTCTGGCGAATAACGCGAGTGCCTGACCATCGAATCACCCTGAATGCGGCGCCCGATCTCGTCCGATTTCGAAAACTAAGCAGGAGTTTGAGCCTGGCGAATTGCTTGTGTGTGGGTGAACGTTGCCAGGGCTTGCCAGTTGTTGTGGGCGCTCTGGCCAGGGGATGGCAGTGTTGAGCGTCTCCCGCTCGTATGAGCACTGCAGTGGCGTGTTCTCCGAAATGTAATCCGCTCGTGAACGAAAAGGGTTTTTTTGTTAGTCTCTGTCCAAATCGTTTTAAAAATTCTGCATCTTTAGCATAGCCCACGAATTTAATTCAATGTTAAAATGTGCGTGTGTGTGTATATACTGTCAAATTGTCCGTAAGATTGAATGACATAACATTAATTAAAGCACAAACAGCAAATAATGCAATATAATCATTCACAACCCTTTGTCAGTACACTGCTGGATGAAGGCCTCCCCAGCCCGGTTTAACCAGGTATGGTCGTTCAACCACACCTCACCGGGCTGGTCAGTGTGGGTTCAGATATCACTATCGAAAAAAGCACACTTGGCCTCGGCACTGATGTCAGCCTTCTCCTGGAATTAAACTTAGGTAGGTTCTGGTTCACAGAGCATCGCGCTAATCATTGCGGCACCACTCCACCCTCAGTAACAGAAGCAATAATGCAGTGGGGGAAACAATAGACTGTACTGCATTTGCAATCCAGACATTCCGACGCACAATCAACTAGACGCGACGGTACTGGCTGCGTGTATGTAGAGGTTGCTAACAATCACAATGATCTATTATGTCCTTTATTTAGGCAGGTAAGCTTCAACGATTAGCGCGGTTGTCTACGTACGGTGCAAAAGAAGTGTAACATACATGCATACAATGAGTCTCATAACCCGTTTTCCAAGAAGGGTCCTCCTGCAATGGGACATTTGACCAATACCACGTCGGAAGAAGCCCGCCACTCTAATACGAGGGTGGTTACTCGGACGCTCCGCACAGATATATCCAAAATCCATTCACAAATAAACAATTAATCCATCTGTGGATTAAAGCAATTGCTGTACCGGCAGTACTGCCACATCCTGGCCACCCCGCAGCCCACACATGACACCTGGTTTTCCCAGACAGTATCCCATCAAAGTAGCCCACTCACCAGGCTCCCAGCCTGCTTAGCTTCCGAGATCTGACGATTCAGAATTATTTTGCTTAAACAACAAACCCAAATGAACACATCGTATCAACAACCACAGCTCCGTCTAACGCAATCACACACACCCACACACGTGTTTATATCATCACAAGCCGTGATCATTCACTGTTGGATGAAGGCTTCACCGAGCCGCCGACGCCGCCGCCTCTGCAACGAAGCACCGACTGCCTTCCCGTGGCACAGCGGAGTGAGTGCTTCAGTCGACCTGGTTAGCTCGACGGGGAAGGGCACCCCAAAGCAGTCAGCTACTCGGCGAGCGGCCAGAAAAAAACGCATTCCCTTCGCCCAAACCGCACTGACCAGCGTGGTGAAGTATGGTCAATCCACCAGCTCTCCTCTCGCCGCATGACCGACGGACATACACGTATTAGCATATACGCAGAGACTACACGCGCTATGCATGTGAAGAACGCCGAAACGTCATCAACTTACTGGAACTTCTCGAGCTCATGATGTCCGGCGATGGATGATTGGGGGGGGGGTCCCTTTTCCTCTCTCTCTCTCCTGTGCCGAGTCTGTCGCTTCTTCACAGAGCGCTGCGCAAGACGGGGGCTGGCTTCGGCTAAACAGGCGGGCAGGCAGCCCCCAGGGGTGGGTTAGCTCGAGCGGCGGCAGCAGTAGCGATAGCTGCAGCAGCAGCAGAGCAGCTGGCTGGCCGCACTGCCAGCGCTGTTCTCTACCCAGCCGGATCGTTCGTTTTGGGCTATCAGCTGGTGGAGAGAGATTGGACGGGAGGGAGAGCGCGGGGTGGGTGGGTGGGGGAGGTGAGGGGGTGTGATGGAGACCACAAGGTAGCGGGCTGGATGTTGCTAGAGAATTAGAACATGGAATGAATAAAGGACTCGCTGATCGCAGCCCTATGCATTATTGAACATCTTTTATTTCTGCTTCAGCGCAAAAAAATCAGGGCCTTAAAACATCCTTTTAACGTGATCAATTACAATAATTGCGATCTTTACGATATCCCTGAATGTGTGATCCTCCATGTCGTATGTGTGCATGTATACATGCAGCATTGACAGATCAATTCGCTTGTGTGGCGAATTCATTTGCCTTGCGTCTTCCTGTCACTCGGCACGCTGTACCGCACTAAAAAGAACATAGCCCGGAATTTAACCAGGAGCCTCGACCTAACCGGCAGGTGCCCACAAAAACCAACACAGCCCCATGACGTCAACCTCTCAGCGTCTCCTGCCAGCAATCTCTGTGCTTAAAGCCCCCCCTAGTGGCTGCGACAACTGGAGCCAATCAAGAGACGTTCGGGCCATGGTAAACTGGACTCCCATGGTCAACTGGACTCCCATGGTAAACTGGACTTATATGGTAAACTAGACTGCCATGGTAAACTGGACTTCCATGGTGAACTGGACTGCCATGGTAAACTGGACTGCCACGGTAAACTGGACTGCCACACGGTAAACTGGACTCCCACGGTAAACTGGACTCCCATGGTAAACTGGACTTCTATGGTAAACTGAACTCCCATGGTAAACTGGACTTCTATGGTAAACTAGACTCCCACGGTAAACTGGATTCCCATGGAACTGGACTTCTATGGTAAACTGGACTCCCATGGTAAACTGGACTTCTATGGTAAACTGAACTCCCATGGTAAACTGGACTTCTATGGTAAACTAGACTCCCACGGTAAACTGGATTCCCATGGAACTGGACTTCTATGGTAAACTGGACTCCCATGGTAAACTGGATTCCCATGGTTATGGGTCGGCAACGAAAATAACAAGAAGAGGCATTTTTTTCCAATTCGGTTAAAAACTCGATATTTCAAGAGTCGCAATGCATGTGCATACAATACGGTGGTCCTTAATAAAGAAACGTCACGAAGCAGAGCCACAGGTTACCGACTCCTGCGCTCGGGGGTTAGGGGGTGTGGTGATGGGTCGATTAATTGATAAGACACCGGGAAACCAACATTGAATCGAGCGTGGTATAAATCGCTGTGTTTGTTTATTGAATCACGCGCTCAATTTTATTTTATGCGCAGAAAATGCCAATGTTCCAAGCGAGGCTGATGGAACGGGCAACATTGTACAAACGAGACCCAAAAAAAATCGAGGAGCTTCTTCAATCAGCTCATGCAGTACAACTAATCACATTGTGCAATTAAAAAAAATCAAGAATACCAACGAGACATGCATTGTGTAATGGCGAGCAGCACAGCAGACTTGCAATCCAGATGACGCCTGTTCAATTTCCCGACATCAGCTGAAACAATGGGCATATCTATTAAATACCGCCTGCCTTCGTCCACCCACCAATTTGCTCGCGTGCGGTGGGGTAAAGTGTGGGTGCTCCCACCTCTTCCGAGACGTCTGGCCACCGTGGAATAGTCGACCAGATACTCTGGAGAAAGGCCCTTTTTAAAAGTCCCTTCCATCAGCTCTGGCGTGAGCAGGCAACCTTTGCTTTTTTTATTTTACATAAAATATTCCTTTCCTCTCAGTGACAGTAAAGATTATAATTATTCTCAATTAACCTATGCATTCCACAGGTCACATAATCACTCATGCCTGAATTCATTTAGCATCCGCATACGTCGTCTATTACATATATACAAAAATTCGTATATGCTAGGCTCGGAAAAATAACAATTATATTAAGCGGTGTTTTCGAGTTTAACAAGAAGTGTGATACTGTACGTGGTGTAAGATATTAATACTGGCAATTATTTATCCCCAAAATAACCTCACAAGTTCTCGAGAATACGATTTCAGGAAGGTCCTGCATCGGAGACGTTTGGCTTCGTGTGGGATGCAACTGGAGCGTGGAGAGACCCCCACCACGAACGCGATGCGATAACACTCAAAAGTCCACACGTAAGGGCTGCCAGACCACTTGTTGTACTGCCATCCCCACAGGTGTGTGCCACCAGTGTCTGTGAAATGGACAAAGGCTGAGCCCTTGCCCAAGCCACTCCAGGAGCTGTAGATAACCCCTCCAGAAGGTGGGCGCACCCACACTTGGCCCTCACCACACGCAACCGCTCGATCGGCCAACTGTTGTGTGTTACTCAGTTGTACTCGGGGGTTAACCCACGTCTGCTGCTGTGTGAACCAGGCAACACTGTTTGGAGTGTGACCGTGCATCGATACATCGACCAATTAACACTGATATGGAATCGCGCGTGTTATAAGAAGCGATGCCTTTTAGATTGCTTTTTTCCTGCGCGTATTTGGTACACGTGACACTCTCGGCTACCTGAGGCTGACACATTTAAAACGGTGAGGTGGGTGAGGGGGGACAGCACAGTTAATGTTAACCAAACGTTAAACACGGAATGAGTAACGATACAATTTGATCATGTCTACAATGCATTATGCTCTCTCGCCTACTCTGTATATGATGAAAGGCTGAAGAAAAATCCGACACCATTGTTCAATATTGTACCAACATTATTTGGCTCGATTATAATAATTTGACTGCAAGATTTGCTTTGTGGAACCATACCGAAGCAATATTTAATACTTGTTCGCTAACCCACTACCAACGAACACATTTGCAGAGTCCAGGGGTTGCAGCTGAGTCATATTTATACATTCAAATATATCCGCGCGTGTGAGATTGAAACGGCCTGTAATATCGTGGAAAATTATACCATTGAGTCGGGTCACTGCCCGTGAATTCTTAATGAACTACGGCATGGGTGGGGACATCGTTTCATTTACCCAGGGCCGAATATGACTTTCAAATAGGTTTGGTGGGTACCCATACATTTATCACACACACACACACAGAGTCAGTAATTTATATCACTGCAAGAGGGCCTTGCAGTGATGGAAGTAACCGAACGCGCTAAATTTAGAAGCACGATATTGTTTGCCAGGTTGAAAAAAAACGTTCCCCCTATGGTACGCAATGAGTTGCGACTAAGACGTGACCAGTCGGGTATTTTTTGTTTGTGAAATTACATCGCGGGTCCGATGACGCCCCAAACATGGGCAAACTCGAACCAAAGTGTTACGTGTGGTGGGACGGAGCGATTGATTAATCGAATCGTAGGTTCTTAAACTCGCGACTGCTGCGTCGAATTGCGCGAGTCGATGTTCAATTCCAATGCTGTATAATACACAAAAAATATTTATAACACAATTGATAAGTGGAAGTAACGTCTCGTGAATATATCTGCGCCTCCACGTGAAAATGGTTTTGTTCTATGCACAATAATCACTTCAACCGCCTTCTGAGAGTGATGTGTGGTATATGTAGACTGCATAGTCGCGTAAGGCGGCTTACGCGAACCCCTGCACATATTTTGTGGGCGCTATATATTTCAGAACGTGAAAATAAAAAAAGTATTGTTGATCGAATCACGCACCATCGAATCGCCGAGTGCGGGCAGGGGAAGAGGGTGACGCATTTCACCTACCAGTTCTATTGTTTATGTGTTAGTGCTCGGAAGCTAATCGGGTTTGATGCTTTTCAGCATTTGAATGGGTGACAATCAGGGCTTGCCAGCTGTTATAGGTGTGAGGCTGCAAGGCTGCGTTGGCTGAGTCATGTAGCCCGCATGCCCAGCCACCGCATGCCCAAGCAGCTTGTATTTGGTCGGATAGAGAGGGCTAAATGGGCGCGGTATACGGGCTGGAGAAGAGATGGGCTGATGCGGTACGGGAGGATATGGAGCTGAGTGGACTTGACGAAGACCGCTACCAGCGGTGTCAAGATCGACTTCTGTGGAAGAGGTTCGAGAAGGACGCTGCTACTGGGCAGGTGGAGGCAGTCGCCCTCCAGCAACAACGGAGGGCAGAGGAGCGACGCTCACCACAACGCGCAGAGCGCCGAGCGGATAAAATACAGAAACACTGCCACAACGGAGAGCACCATTGGTGAATCTGCCACTCATCTTAGTCAGTCAACCATTGGCACCTGTGTCTTACTCGTGACCTCCTGCCAGCGGGCCTTCGACACTTCACGTGGCCTCATAGGCGCACCTAGCATGGCACCAGCGCCGTGGTGACGTCACCGCCACTTGGTGGCGAACGGGGCACGTTGTTGTTGTTGTTCTTGTTGTTGGCGAGCTAGGTGGCTTCTGTAAAAGACGCAAATGATTCAGTGGGCCTTACTTAGTAAGATCAAATATATTCTTTGGTTCAAACATAGTCTTTGGTTCAAACATAGTTTAGGTTTATTTGTATATATATTTTTTAAAGTTATTTGTTTACCTTGCCTATAGTCTGCACTTCTATCGTGTTGGGTTTTTTTTATTGGTTGTTGTTGTAACGTTCTGGTATAAATAAATGTTCTTATTCTGGATATGACAGTGCTGAGTGTCACGCCCTCCGTGGTGTGCATTTGAGCTTTCCTCCCACACGAAGCCGAAACTCAGTCGTGGTATCGACCAAACATTCCTACGCAGGGCCCTCCTGAGAAAGGAGCCTTCCTTTTAGGGCACGGTTTTGCTGGGTTAGGTAGTAGCATTACTCCGACAGCACTATTATTTGCAACCAGCTGTTTGGCAAAGGCTCATTCGGTAGGGTGGCACTTCGTAGCCGCGATTGCACGCACAGTTGCAGTTTGCCTCGAAGTAGAGAAATCAATTTCCATGCGGATGTTGAAACGCGTGTCAATTGTCAGTGGCTGCATGCTGCTGCCTTTGCTTCAACGAGTAAGCGCATCGCATACAGATTAGTGCCTGCGTCTGTGTGTTTGTGGAGGGAGAGAGCGGTGAGCGTAGCGCTTAGCGCATCGCGCTACAAATCTGAC